GGGGGTGTCGGCCCTGGGAGTGCTGGTCCTGGGGGTGTCGGCCCTGGGAGTGCCGGTCCTGGGGTTGCCAGTCCTGGGGGTGTCGGCTCTGGGGGTGCCGGTCCTGGGGATGTCGGCCTGGGACGTCATGTGCAGTCCTGGGATGCTGGATGCCGGGGCATGTGCCTCCGGGCATGGAGTGGTTAGACGGGACAAGCGGGGCCGGCCCCCAGAGGTGTGCCCCCAGAGGTGTGCCCCCAAATGCACTTCTAGCAAGGTTTTCAGGTGAGGTGAGTGTGGTCCTGGAGCCACACCCTTAGAGACACAGCCGTGGGGTCTCCAGAGCACCCAGGCACCCGTCTGACCTAAGTCTTGCAGAGCTGAGCCGTGTGCCAGACGCGACTTTATGCCCGCTTTCCAGGTGAGGGTACTAACATCCGGGGGGTCGCCTGGCCCCGAGGTGCAGCAGGTGTGGGCAGAGCTCAGGTTTTGTTGCAGCTGTTCCAGGCTTGGAGAGATCACTTCTGTGCCACGCCCGGAGGCATCCCCAGGGCGTGAAGAACTGCAGAGTCCTTCTCTGGGGAAGCCCATACTTAGAACTTCCTGTGGTCAGTCTCTGGCGCGGGCCAAGGCTAGGGGGCAACGTTGCCGTCCCCCTTGCAAGTGAGGAAACCGCGGCACAGGTTGGAGCCTGGTCCCTGGTCACGAAGCGGGAAGCGGCAGAGCCAGAGCTTGAGCCCAGCACTGGGCTTGGACCCCCGTGGGCTCCCTGTGCCCAGTAGCCTGTTCTGTGCCCCCCTAACTGCCCCCCGCCATCGCCCTTCATGCTGCGAGGAAGAGACAGTACCCAGAGGCAAGCTGGGAACTGGCATTGAAACATGCTAGTTCCTGGCGCTGTTCCACTGGTGGGGGCCTGGACTGAGGGGTAGGCTGTGCCCTCCACAAGGAAAGGGCCCGCGTGGGCAGAATGGCAGGCCCAGGCTGGAAACCCAGGGGCTTTGGTCCACTGCCAGCTGGCCCTGCTTCCCGGCTCTGTGTACCCCTGTCCCTGTGAGCCCTCGGCACCAACATCTGTTTCATTCACCCCTGTCTCACTCACCACAGGCTGGCTGCATCCCTGGCGGGGGTCGCCCCGGGACTGCTCCTGGGTCACCCAGCCACAGCGTGTTGAGTGCACTGGGCCAGCTCTGTGCTCTCTTCACTCATTGCAAGGATGCAGCGCCACACTACAGGGGAAACTGAGGCTGGGTGGGGGAGGTGCCGGCTGGGGCCCCCGGGGGGTTTCCCAGCCTCTTACCTTCCTCCTTGTCCAGCCTCTTGCTCATCTCCTAGGCAGAGCCTGGCTGTGCCCCCATGACCCAGGGTGGCCGTGCTCACGCCATGCTGGTTTCGCGCTCTCTGCAGGCCAGAAGCACCTGTGTGTCACCAGCCTCCTCATCTGCCAGGGTCTGCTCTGGGTGGGCACCGACCAGGGAGTCATCGTCCTGCTGCCCGTTCCCCGGCTGGAAGGCATCCCCAAGATCACAGGTGAGGGGAGCCGTCTCGGCAGAGCCGGGGGGCAGCTCAGGTGACTGGGGGCAGGCAAACCTGTGTCCAGAGTTTATGCTCTCCGGGATGGGGGTGACAGTCCATTGTCCTCTGTCATCACAGAGGCGCCATGGCACAGTGCAGTGAAATCACCCCACTTCATGGTACCCCACTTTCTTTTTGAGTCTCAACTTCCTAATCTGGCTGATGGGCACAGTGACCCATCTGACCGGGCAGAGGCTCCTTGGATCCTTCCCTCCCTCCCCACAGCAACGTCAGTCACCCAGACTCCGGAGCAGAATTAGCTAAGGACCTCTGGGGCCCGGCCCCGCACGTGAATATATTTTGCAAGGTCTGCCCTGACCACGCAAGGGCCCCAGAGGAAGGGGTGGCTCGGGGGGTACCCCAGAGCCCTGGCCCCCTGCCGCCTCTGCCCTGAGAGTGAAACCAAACCTGAGGGCTGCACTGGAGGGGTGAGCGGGGTGGGGCACCCCGAGGCTGAGGCAGGGGCAGTGAGGGTAGGTGTTCCAGGGACTGCAGGGCAGAGAGAGCTGATCAGGGCTCCGAGGGGCGAGGGGCCACGCGTGCGGGGCCTCTCTGGCTGAGGGATAGGATCAGGTAGGAGGGAAGGACGTCGCAGGCCGAAGCAGCGGCTCGGACAGAGGGTGGGCATGAGGCAGGCTCAGGCCGCCAACGGGGTCCGTCCATGCTGCGACCCCCCCCCCCAAGTGGCTTATCAGGCCCCTCCTGTTCTGCACCACACCTGAAGCATGGGAGGCTGCCCCAGGCCCCCGGCCCCCCGGCAGGGTGCCAGCGTAGACTGCAGTTACCCAAAAGACAAGAAGCCCAGAAAGTTCCCCAGCCGCTTGTGGGTGCCAGTCCTGAACCCTGCCCCCGCGGGCCCTTCTCCTCGCCCCGCCTGCAGGGAAGGGCATGGTCTCACTCAACGGTCACTGCGGGCCCGTGGCCTTCCTGGCTGTGGCCTCCAGCATCCTGGCCCCCGACATCCTGCGGAGCGACCAGGAGGAGGCCGAGGGCCCGAGGGCCGAGGAGGACAAGCCGGACGGGCAGGCCCAGGAGCCGGCGCCCGCCGGCCACGTGGGCCGGGAGCTGACGCGCAAGAAGGGCATCCTGCTGCAGTACCGCCTGCACTCCACGGCGCACCTGCCAGGCCCGCGGCTGTCCATGCGGGAGCCCCCGCCCGCCGAGGGCGCGGCCCTGGAGCACAGCGAGGAGGACGGCTCCATCTACGAGATGGCCGACGACCCCGACGTCTGGGTGCGCAGCCGGCCCTGCACCCGCGACGCCCACCGCAAGGAGATCTGCTCCGTGGCCATCATCTCGGGCGGGCAGGGCTACCGCAGCTTCGGCGGCGCCCCCGGGGGCGGCGGGCGGCCGGCGCCCTGCGGGGAGACGGACAGCGCCCTCCTTATCTGGCAGGTGCCCTTGACGCTATAGCCCTCGCCCGGGGCACGCAGCTCCGGCCGTGCCCGACTCCCGGCCTGCTGGGGTCCCTGCTGGCTGTCCGGGGCCCCCCAGAGAGTGCTGGGGACAGAGCCTTCCAGGGACCGGCCCGGGGGCCGCGGGCTGGCCTGGATTCTCCAGGCACTACCTGGGCAAAGCAGAGAACCTCTTCCTTAAGGAGTCTCAGACTGGTCTGGGGAGGGGTTTGCCTTGGGGAGAGGGAGAAAAGGGCCTTCTTTTCAAAGCAAAAAATAATAATAATAACAGAAACCTCACAAATGCCTGGCCAGCCCGGGGCCGCCGCTGGGCAGCAGGGCTCAGGCCGCCCGGGCCCTCCTGGGAGAGCGTGGCCGTGTGCGAGAGTGCGTGGCTGGCGCCACTGTGAATATATATATATAAATACCTATACATGATGTATATTATCTGTGTATAAATAAAGTCTGTACATATTGGAGCTCGGGGAGATGCTGGAATAAAAAAGCAGGAGTCACGTCAGGACCTGGGTCGAGGGTGTTTGTTTTCGAGACGCAACAGGGTGCTGCTGTCATCAGAGGGGGCTTCCCAGCCACCAGGGGACCCCGCCTTTGGCAGGAGGCCCCGAGACTGGTACCGGCAAGACCCTGACCCAAGAGCGGAGCCTGGAACTGCTGTTCAGCGTGGCCAGCACCGGCCACGTGGCTATTTAATCTCCCGTGGTTTGTAATCCTAGTGAATGACAAATTCAAGCCTCAGTCTGATCCGTGTGTTTCTATATGGCCCAGGCGCCATGGGGGCGGGAGACCCACTGGGGCAACATGGAGATGCCAGAAGGTTCTCTGCTGCTGCCCGAGAAGGGGCCCCTGGGAGCTGCTTTTCTGAGTGTTGTTTGAAGAAAGGGGTTTAGGCCGTTGCTAGGGGCAACAGCGAAGTGGGAGGGGCTGAGGTCCCAGGCCTGAAGGAGGGTGGTGGGAGCAGAGCTCACGCCGGGGGGTGGGCTTGGCAGGGGCACTGGGGCCCTGGCTCCCCTCTTCGGGCTCCTTTCGACCTGAGGTTTCTCCAGCTGTCTGCCTGGGGGGGATTCCGAACCCAAACTCCCCCGCAGAGGTCCGTGCTTCCTCCATCTTCCCACCCCCCTGCCCAGCTGTCTGTCCTTGTGTGCTTAATGACTGCAGCGCAGGAGAGGGGAGGGCCCGAGACAGTCAGCAAGACCAGACCGGGCTTCGCAAGCGTCTGTGCGCCTGGGGGCACCGTCAGGTGGCCGGCGGGGTCGGAACCCCAGACTCGCCCACTGGAGGACTCGTCACTTCTGCACGCGCCTGGGGCTCCGACCACACACAGGCACCGTGCGGGGGCCGTGGAGGTGAGCAAGCCGTGATCAGCGTGTGGAGGTGTGTCTGGAAGCACAGGCTTGGGGACAGGCCTCAGTGCCAGTGGTAGGATGTGCTCTTCCAGGTGAGCTCATCTTCTCTCGGCCTCAGTTTCCCATTTGCTACAAAGGGAGACAGACTCCCCACTGTCGGGGCCGCCTTTCCTGGAGGTGAAGTCCTGAGCACGGCTGGGGTAGAGGCGCATCACTGAGCACCCTGTCGGGGAGGGCCTCCCATGGGTGTCTTTATTCCTCTCGGCGCCGGTTGAGACTTTCTGGGGCAGTGGTCAGTGAGCAGCGTCCCTCAGGGGATGCTCCACCAGGCCTGCGTCCCGCTCCAGCTCCACCGGAGACCCTGTGTGCGGGCCTCAGCCTGGTCCCTTTGCCCAGAGGCCTCGGTTTCCTTGTCTCTGAAACAGGGACGATGACCCTTTGCAGAACCGCTGAGGGCAAGCGCTAGCAAGTTTGTGGAACAGTCTGGAACGTCTCCGAAGGCAGCTTGGCGATTACTCCTTATATCATCCTAGCTCCCCTGTGGCAAGCGATGTGAGGCAGACTGTTCTTATTAAGAAGTCTCCCCTTTGGTGCTGAGCTGGCCCCTGAGAGTTCTTCGGGCCCGTTAGATACTACACATGCAGCTCGCTCCGCTGATGGTGCCTTGGGAGATCTGATGGGACCCGTGGAATCCGTCACTGAGAAATGACTGACTTCGCTATACAGTGAAATTATCATATCAGTCAACAGCTCATCTCCCCAGTCTCTGACAACAGAGCGAGGGAGAATTGGGGGCGTCGGAAGCGGCTCTCGAATCATGTCAGGACGTGCCTGGCATGGGGAGGAGGCTCTTGCTGTAGATCTTGATCAGAGTAATAATACTACCAGCACCAAATGCGTCAGCTCCTCCCCCCACAGCCGTTCCAGGGGCTGCCGGCTCCCTCCCTCTGCAGGTGCCTGGTCTCAGGCTTAGGGACGTAAGTAACTTGGGGACTTGGGGGGAGGCTGAGGCCTGTCTGTCGCCAAAGCCAGACACTTAACCACCTGACCCATCGCCTCCAAGAGCAGAACTTTGGGGACAAACGAACAGTCCAGAGCTCTGACTACTTTCCCGATTCCAGAGCTGTGTGATATCAGCAGGTGACTTAAACTCTTTGTGTCCTGGACGGGGTATAACAGCCCTGCCAGGGGAACCAAATGCCAGTGATTCAGCATTTAGAGAGCCTACTATGTGCCAGGACCAGCCCTCACACACACCCTGTCCCCAGTTTGCAGGTGCGGGGAGGAGGGAACAGACAATACATAAAAGTATGCTATGGGCTTTGCCCTGGACTGGCACAAGGAGGGGGAGGGAGGGAGTCTGGGGAGGGGCTTGGGGATATACAGGGTGTCTGGGAGGTCTCTTGAGAAGGTGACATTTGAGTAAAGACCTGGAGGAGGAGGTAACAGGTGGCAGAACATTCTGGAAAGAGGGGACAGCAATGCAAGGTGCTAAGGCAGGAGTGTGGTTGGAGGGAGGGAGCATGATGCTCTCTCGCTCGCTCGCTCTCACACACACACACCTACCTGGCAGTGATTCAGAGAGGATGGGGACTGGGAGACTTCAGCTTATCAAGATTTATAGGGGTTGGAAAGAAACTACAAGTTTATACTCAAACAAATCATCCTACTACACAGCTGCACACCTTTGCTGGCCTGCTACTAGGCTAGACTTACTCTGGCTATAAAACCATCCCTCTCCTTACAGAATGCACTGCCCAGGGAAGGGCATGCTAATGCCTAGGAGATGCAACCTGGGAAGGCTTCCTGGAGGCTGTGCGGCACGGCGCAGCAGACACGGGCTTCGGATTGGTGCAGATGTGGGTTTGATCTCGACTGTCGGCGTTCATTGTGCGGCCTTAGTCAGGTGGCAGCCCGCAGCACGTCCACGTCCTCGGCCGTGTAAAGGCCAACACTGTGCGGTCTCCGCGGTGTCAGGTGTTGGCTATGACTCTTGTGTCTTCTCACTCTGCGGCTACTGCTGCAGCACTGGTTCAGTGACTCCTCAAAGTGGAAGGCAGCAGGCGTGGAAGCAGAGGCTCAGAGGGCGGGGTCACTTACTGGGCACACGGCGTCCAGCAAGGACGGGCTGGGGTCTGCCGTCCTGGGCCGGGGGAGGGTTGGGCGCCGTGCCCTGGCCCGAGCTGGCCTGTTCCTGAGCCCCGGGGTCGCTGAGCCTCTGAAGCCTGCTTTCTTATGGGCCCGGTGTCTGTTGTCCTTTGATGACAAAGTTTGTGTCCACGTGGGCGTGCCACGCAAGGGCACATTGTGAGCTTCCGCTGCGGGATGTGGGGATATTAACACCTCCCAGCCTGATGGGTGAGCACAGCCACTGGCCTGCAGCATCCCCAGCCTGCTGGAGGAGAGGTTCCTGTGCTCGGGGCCCCCTGTGCCCTGGAGGACTCAGCCCTTCACGTCGTTGGTGGGGGGACTGCTGGTGTGACTGGGGCACAAGGGTCTGCCCTCGGGAAGCCAAATCCGATGGGCGGAGGGCCAGCCCAGCTCGCAGGATCCCCCTGTTTGATGGAAAAGACTTTCTGCCCAGGCGCCCTGGTCTGATAAGGGAGACGTAGCTCGGTCCTCAGAGGATTCTCCCGTCGGGTCGGGGAGCCGCTGGGGACGGCAGGAAGAGGACTCCCTCGGCCTCAGTGAGCTCCAGCCTGAGAGGGGACACAGGATCCTCAGGAGCCACAGCCCCACCCTAGGACACACCACAGAACAGAACGCTTTTAGACGCAGACCTCATCACAGGGCTGCCGAACTACTCTAAACTCCTCATTTACACTTTCCTGGGGAAATGGCAAATAGCAAGAATGTGTAAATTGAGGGAAATTAATATAATTACCTGAGCTATTCCTTGTCATCTTTTCATATCAACAGAAACCACAAACCTTTCCTGGGGAGAAGCAAGGTCAGTATGGACCGGCTCTCCAGGCTGACAGCCGCTGCGTCTCTGCAGGAACAGGCCCTTCCAGGCGTCCCTGCCTGCGTGAGCTCTGGGCTGGGAAGCAGGCCCGCCCGGGGCCGCGTGCACGGGGAGAGCACTGGGTCCGGGAGACGCGCCTGTCCCCCTCGGCTTGTGCGGGACCCGAGGGTGCCTGCACCCCGATGCCAGTGCACATGCATGTGTTAAGTGTGTTCCGCCTGGGCCACAGTGGGTCATGCCAGAGGGAGCCCCGCTGTACAGCTGAGGAACGGAGGCTCAGGGAGGTGAAGTCTCTTGTTCAGCATCACACAGCACAGAGCCCCTGGGCCTTCACCTTAATGCCGATACCCTGTACCCTGAGCTGCTGCCGCACCCTCGGCCATCACAGGGCCCCGTTTCCGGCTTCTCTCTTGAGAACAGGTGCCCAGGGCCTGCACAAGCCACAGAACGTTTGCAAACCTGCAGCCTCAGTTTCCTCTTCTGGAATGTGGGGGTGGTAACAGCAGTGACCACATGGGCTATGTTGAGGGTGAAGTGAGTTCATTCATGGAAGATACGCAGAGCAGCTCTGGCCCGCGGTGAGCGCTCAGCCCCATCGGTCCCACCTCGTGGGATGTGGCCAGGTGTCTGCATTCCAAGAGGCTCCTCTGGCCTGTGCTCAACACGCACACGTGTCCAAGCTCCCCAGCACCTTCTTGAGGGCCTTCGTTTCGCGCAGCCAGCGTAGAGAATCCGGCTGCCTCTTGCAGAAACTCCTGTCACTTGTGCTGACTCCAGAAGCACCAGCACAGCACTACTCACAGGTGCTTTGGAAACAGGGCCGCATGCCGGGAGCTCTGCTGTGGACAGACTGCCCCGGGGGCAGTTTAGCAGGGCCTGGGAGTGGACAGTGTAAGCTTGCAGAGGCGTCCTCGTGTGTGGGCTCGGGGGAGAGCCTGAGGGGGCGAGTCTGAGGGTGCGCTACCACACTGGCAGGTGACTGCTGCTGGCTGCTCTGTGCCAGGCCCCGGGCAGGGCTCAGAAACTGGGGCAGAATGGGCACACGCGGTCCCTGCCCTTATGGAGCTGAAACTCCAGCCTCACGGCAGCACAAGTCTGAAGAGAGAAGGCTTCTGGAGCCCCGGCGGGTAAGGGGAGAGCATGGTGGCTTTGGGGGGTCTCAAATGTGGAGTCTCCCATTTGCCGAGCTCA